TCCGCGCCGTCTCGGCCCTTTCCGCCAGCGCTTCGGCGCCGCTCGGCTCCCCTCCCGCCCCTCGCCCCTCTCCTCCCTGCCTCCGAGCCCGGGTGTGCGGCGAGCTCGGGACGGCGAGTTGGCCGCGGCTCCTTCCGCGCGGCCGCTTCCGCTCACCTGGGCGGCCGCTCCCAGTCCCGCGTCTCGTCCCCCAAACCCCTCCCAGGTAAGGGGCTGCCCCGGCCGCCCCCGTCCCCGTCCCTCCGCAACCCCGCTGGACTGCTGGTGTCTCCACGTCCCGCCTCCTCCTCAGCTGGAGGCTCCGCACCTCGCCCGGGAATGGGGGTGTCGGTGGCGGGGACCCCAGGCCGGCAGTGGCCGGAGCGAGGTGCAGGAGATGCGACGGGCGGACGTGTGGCCGGGTCCGGCCCCGGTCCCCTGACCGCCGTGGGCGCGGACCCCGCCGGGGATGGGGCGGGGGCCGGGGGTGGAGACAGTCCCTTTCTCCTCCCCTCGAGGGGCGGTGATCGTCCCGGCCCGCGGTGTAGGTGCGTCGGAGAAGCTCCGCAGGTTGGGGACTCGGCAGCCACTGGCCGGCGGGCACGAGTGGGCGCGCTCCGGGTGTGGGGCTCGAGCGGCGCGGCCGCGGGGCAGACCCTCGGGCGGGTGAGGACCTGACGCCTCGCTTCCCCGCCCCCTGTTGTGTTTTCCCTCAGACGGCCGGCCGCCGGGGGAACCGCGGCCGCCCCCTCGCCCGGGGGTCGCTCCCTCGCATCCTCGGGGCGGCGGGAAGGAAGAGGCGGCGGCGGCCGCAGCGCGGGTGGGCGGCCTGAGGTGAGAGCCCGGCCGGCCCCGCTGGGAATATGGCGACCGGTGGCTACCGAACCGGCGGCGGCGGCGGCAGCGGCAGCACCACAGACTTCCTGGAGGAGTGGAAGGCGAAGCGCGAGAAGCTGCGCGCCAAGCAGAGCCCCCCGGGCCCGGCCGCCCCGGGAGGGGGCGGTAGCGACGCGGCCGGAAAGCCCCCGTCCGGGGCTCTCGGCACCTCGGCGGCAGCCGCGACCAACGAGCTCAACAACAACGTCCCGGGAGGCGCGGCCGCACCTGCCGCCCCCGGGGGCGTGCACTGCGCGGCGGGACCCGCGGCGCTGACCCGGGCGGCCCCCGGCCCGCGGCGGCCGGAGGACGAGCCCCTCGCGGGCGCCGCCGCCGCCGCCTCGGGGGCACCGCCGGCCCGGGGCGACGAGGAGGAGCGGGACGGCGCCCCGGAGAAGGGCAAGAGCTCGGGCCCCAGTGCCAGGAAAGGCAAGGGGCAGATCGAGAAGAGGAAGCTGCGGGAGAAGCGGCGCTCCACCGGCGTGGTCAACATCCCCGCGGCGGAGGTGAGCCGGGCGGGCGCCGCGCGCGGCCGGGCGGGGGCGGGGGCTGCGCCTCCTTCCGTCGTCGTCCCGGGAGCGGCGGGTCTCCCGGGCCCAAGAGTGTTCCCCATGCTAGCTCGTAGGGCCTATCCTTTCGCTGAGCTAGGCAGGCACAGGGTGATGGAGTTTTCCTCTGAACAAATGCTTCCTGGGAAGTTCCCCAAACCCCAAGTAGGACATGTGCTTTTCAGGCTTCCTGGCCAAGGTCTCACACTCGGGGTCCTTTTTTTCCCCCACCGTGGTGGAAAGTCAACTCTTGGCTCCAGAACTTGGTCACCTAGGCTTGTTTTTTCATGCTGGATCAGTTAGAAAAAAATTGATTAATAGTGATGACGACATACTCTATTTAGTTTCCCACGTGTCCGTCTCAAGTTATCAGATTATCTCCTTTCTTCTCTCTTAACAGTGTTTAATAGCACCTGTAAAGGAAATGTGGCCTTAGCACTTATCTAAGACAGCTTTATCTTTCCTTGAACCCAAGATGAGTATATCCAAATGA